TGTCTTTGAGCAGTGAATAGCAACAGTAAGGTATCCTTCATCGTCTGCGGAGGTTTGAATTTTCCTTTCCGTACTTTAACAGTCGTTATAGTTCATGTTTCACAAAATTTCTGCAATGATTGAAAATCTTTGTTAATGAAGCAGTTGAAGAATAGGTTTTTAAGACAATAATCTATGATTTTCTTTCATATTAATATAACTTATGGAGTGCCCCTAATCTTCTCAGCTATGAAAATTCAATAAAAACTATCATCATCTGAGTATATTAAATAATTTATTATTGATTATAGTGATGTTAAATTAAATATAAAATTACTTAATAAATATTTTGAAGTAATATGAAAGAGAAATTATGTTTAAAGAAAGAATAATAAGGTTAGAAAAAAATTGATTTTTTTTTTCATTTATCTATTTGAATAATATTATTTTTTTATTTAGTTATGAAATCTATATTAAATTAAGAATAAAAATTAAATTATTATTAATTGATAAGAAGTTTTTATTTGACAATACTAAGGAACTGTCAATGAAACATGATCGGTCATTGCATCGAATTGATGATGAAAAAAGTTTAATTAAAAATAAACAAATTGAAATTAATTTACTTAATCAAGAAATTCAACAAATACAAGATGAAAATAAAAAATTAGAAAATATTATTCTTCAATATCAACCTCATTAAAATCTTCTGGCACAAGTTAATTTACAAGTAACGTTCATCGTCAAGCGATTCACTTAGCCCTAGACTGATAGAATACATGTACGAATGTAATAACATAAAAAGCTACATTAAAAAAGTAATACGCAAAATTGATAATATTACCAGTATATCTTAGGCGACCAGAAAACTTAATTTGGAGAATTCTCACTCTAAGTAAAGATGATGCATGTACAAATTTAATTTTTTTTATCGTTTTTGTTTTATTTTTTTTTTGCTTTTATAAATATAAATAGCGCCCAATAAGATTAGACAACAATACGATCTTTTTATAATTATATTGGCGCTATTTGTACGTACAAAAATATGAATTATATTATTCATAAAATTTGAGTTATATTAATCAATATTTTATGCTTAAATTCGCGCATTAATTCTAAACTATTAATAAATTAGATATTCATTGATACAACACTGCACAATCAATCCTACAATAATGAATAATTTAAACGATTTCTTTAAATCCATACTGCTCATTTGGTCTGACTCTCACTAATTGAATGCTTTTGTAAGCCGTTTTACATCACTGCCAGAATTATAGTTATTCCATTGACATTTTACCCATGATTATTATGGGTTCATTTACATCAGTCTTTAGATGATCATTTGTACCATAGTTACCGGAATAGTTGTTTGTACCATGGTTGCTATATGGTCACCTGTACCATAGTTACCGGAATAGTTGTTTGTACCATGGTTGCTATATGGTCACCTGTGCCATAGTTACGTGGTCGTTTGTACCAAAAAAATGAACGTTTGTGCCATAGTTACATGCTCATTTGTACCATAGTTACCTAGTTAATTTTAGTAAAAAAATGGCCGTTTGTGCCAAAAAAATGGCCATTTTGACCGCGTTACCGACAGACAGACAGACAGACAGACACAGGTGAATTTCGGTTTCTAGACCCTAGCCTTTCAGTCTAGGGAACAAGAATACTGTCGAATGAGATGATCACCCTTCATTTTAAAAACTGCTGATACCATTTTGTGGAACAATTTCTAGCGCATACAATAACGATGATATAATCAAATACTAGGATTCAGCATGTCTCCAAACTATCCTATGCCAAATTTTAATGAAAGTATGCAAACTCTAGCATTTTTTATTTAGTGTCCTTTGAATTGTTATACTTCTTAGCCAATTCAGTCAATTTATCAATTTCTAAGGACAGAAAAGTATGTAAGTTTTGCAATAAATACTTTAGAGTGAAAAAGCTTCTACCTATTAACAATAAACCCGTCATGTCTTATCATTGGGCACGAATAGATCGTGAGAAAATACAAAATTTCCAATTCTTATTAGAGATCGAACACATATTGAATCTTTTTATAATAGTCCATTTCCGTACCTCCTCCAGAAGTCTGAAGACGAAAAACTTTTTAGCCGTTTTGCAAAGAGTCATATATGTCAAATGGTGGGGTATGATGAACTCAGTATTAATAAATAGAAACCTCCAATATTAAATAATTTAAGACATAAAAACCAAAAATTACAGACGCTAATAAAAATGCTAAAATTTTACATACTTTCATCAAAATTTGATATAGGTTCGTTTGAAGATATGCTGACGCATAGTATTTGGTTACATCAACTACGATTGCTATAATATCATTCAACTGATGTATGACTTCTTAGAAGATAAAACCTTCATGAAATAGCAATTTTCTATATAAAATTTGATGTCCTTTGATTGCGCGTCTACGAAATGGTATCGTTGGCTTTTCAAATGAAGACAGCATCTTTGTTGTTTTGAATATATATCAGATTGTTTTTTTAGATTGTAGATCAAATTGATCTATTTCAATCAATTGATGAAATGATTGAAATATTTTATATGCTTTATGCTAGTTATCAAGTAGAAATGGATTTTTTTTCTAACTTCGTTTGTTTTCATTGCACTTCTATATTGAGAATATTCTTACGACTATTAAAAATTCTAATGAAACATTAAATGATCTACAACGACTATTGGTATTAACTATAGAAGTAAAATATTTCGAAATGATTTCATAAAAAATTCAATCGAAATTCTACAAAGAAAATAAAATAAAATATCCTCCATGAACAATCGTATACGAGAATTATAGCAAAATCTCATTGAAATTCAACAACATATTGATAAAATTCAAATTGAAATTAACAATTATCAACAAGCATCAATAGAACATTTAACAAAAATTGGTACAATTAAAATGTAAGACAATGGATATAAAATAGATTCTTTTTTTGTACTTCAAAATATTTATATTCAAATGCCATTGAATCTATGTTTGATTTGGTAAAAAGACATAGTCATGGTGAAAATTATTTAATAAATTCAGCAATGAAATGCAATATCTTATATCATAATTGAAAACTTTCATTATGAATCATTTTTTATGTTTTACAAGATAAAACAAAAAACGTTATAAATGATATAATATATAACTTTCATACATAGAGTGTATTTTTAAATTTTCGAGCTTTTAGCGATTATCTGCAGAAAATGATGTTAATAATAATGTTATAATTTTTTTATAAATCTTCGGGTTTTAATTCACATCTTTGTTATTTCATCCGATGCCAATCTTCAATTTGATATTGTTCTGTAGTTGACTGAGAACGAGTACGTCTCAACATAATATATATGAGTATAACCATCAATAAGTAAGGGTGCGGATGTGGATCAACAAGGAAACAACACCCACACCCTCTATAAACTATCGATAATTTTTTGAAAGAATAAGTTTCATTAAATTTGCGCATTTTTAAAACGTTATTCCGTCACGATTGAACAGGTAGTATTAGTAAGAAATAAGATGATAACATCTCCGAAAAATGATTTGGAAACTTGGAAATTTTTCAAAATAAGATCTATTTTTTGAATAGTATTGAATCTGTGAATCGACTTACACTTCTGACTGTTACCATTTCGTCCCAAAAAGAAAACTTTATTAAAATGCATATATATATAAAATGAAAATACTTCTGAATAATAAAATATTTGATTAGGTAAATAAGTGGATGGAAAATATCGAACGAAAAAAAAAAGACGAAAACATTGATAAAAATGCTTAGAATACCAAAAATATATATATAACGAAACACAGGATACAAAATGAACAATTGCACAAAGCAAGCATATACACAACCGACAATATAAATGAAATAAATTAGTTTTGATTAAGCAAATATACCGCCTCAATACTTGTTTTCTTGTTAATTTTCAAAGTCTTTCTCACAAAAATAAATACTCTAGGTCCATATTATAAATGGTGCTATGCCGAAAAGAAATGTAATAACAGATAATTCATAGACTGGTTGCACTGATTAGAGTGCTTTAGTGATTGATTAGAAGAAAAACATTTTTTTCTCTCTCCCTTTTAATATGAAAAAATTCGTAACATTTATTCCATAATGATTGTTCAAAGTTATCATTGATAATGAAATGAAAAATTTTTACCTTCACGGGTTGCTACACTAGGTAAATAGTTTTCTTCATCAAGAAAATAAAGTGGATATTCGACAATAAAACCTTGAATGCTTTTTAATTTTTGTTGTGCCTTAAAAACAAAAAAAAAATATTATTTTAAAACTACTAAATATATACATTCGCAAATATACTTCTATCGGATCAATATCTTTCATCTTAGCCATGTTATTATATGCAGTAATTTGAGCAAATGTTTTAGTATGATCAGTTGGCATTGTGGCAAAAACTTCTTCATAAATGCATGTATTTTGTTTTGCTACATCTTGAAAATAAGAATAAAATTCATCTGATACTGGATCAGTTACATCAATGTTATTTGGATTCTCGAATTGAATACCTAACAGCATTCTAAAAAGTCAAAATAGTTTTCTATGAAAATTATTATAATTTTAGATATGAAACATACTCAAATATCTTTTTACGCCAACTAGAACAAAATTTTCCTACACGAACTGATTCTCCATTAAACCGACCATCTTCTTCTTCAAGATCATTTATTACAATACAAAACTCACTGTCACGATTACCAAGTAATGATCGATCATTTATATTTGCACTACCACATATAGCCATACGATCATCAATAATCATTAATTTTGAATGAACATATATTATTTCAGTTACCTAAAACAAGACAACAAATATCTGAATTGTATCAATAATAAAATATTTTACTTACTAGACGACCCATGAGGATATCATGATTACGCATACCAAAAAAATTAATATAATCCTTTGGTGAAATACCTAAATAAGTAACACGAACGACAAACGCTTATTGTCATAGAGTTTTAAGATTAAGTATTAATGATATATTTAAAAAAACCACTGATCTTTATGTTTAAAATATTGATTTACCTGCATTTTCAAGTCGTTTAAATAATGAATTATCACCCTTAGTAATTGAACACAATAAAATAGAGTACAGCTCGTACAGCATTCGTGCTATCAAAACCAGGTAGAAGAGGAAGAACAACATAAATACGAAACTTTTCAGCATTGCTAATCAACAAAAGAAATTTTTTTAAATGTTATAATATAATAAAAAGAAATACATCATACTTATGTGCTCGTTCTATACGTCGAAAAAGAACATTAGCTAATTGGTTTCGAACTACTGAGTCTTGAGCAATAGTAATAAAGAATTGATTCTAAATACGAAATTATAATCAAAACTTGTACTTCTTTTTTAAAATTTATCTACTTCAATATATATAAAATGTTTGGCAGCATCAATCATTTGTATATAAGTATTATGAATCGATGATTCCTCTGATTTCGTTCCCGCTGACCATGGTCCAACTGAACGAACACACTATATACAAAATTCGAGTGAAAATAATTTTTAAAATGAATATTAACTAAAAATAATAACTTACCTGAGCATTTACACGAAATGGTTCACTTTCAAGAAAATCACTCCAGTTTTCAACAGCTAAGTCTTCAACATCATTATAAGACTTAGGTAATCAAAATGGATAAGAATCATTTTTCAGATATGTTTCACACTTAAGAAAAAAAAATATAACGTTAAAATTTGAAAAATATTTTCTCGTTTTTCTGGTAACTTCTATTTTTAGCAAATAAATCGATAACCAAACAATTAATTAGTTCATTATCAAAGTGATTGATTACTCTCTGAATTGGTGATCAGATCAGATAGTTGCCAACAGATGGCAACGCTAGGACAAATCGTCCTAGAATAAAAAAAGTTGCAACATGTTTTCTTATGAAAAAAGAAGTTGCTAGTCAATGTATCATATTAGAAAGTCTACTTTCATGTCTTAAATAATGTAACATATATCAGATTATTTAAATAGATGGAAATGTGTGGTGCGCATATATTTATGTTTGGAGTGTGGCTGTCGCTGTATGTGTTACTGTGAGTGTCCCGATATGGATTTGAGTTGAAAACAGTAGAATTTGAGTATGAATTAGGCAAGCTATAACTGTCTTCTGTATACCCACACCATGAGACCAACTCTCCGATCACTATGAAATCTTCATCTATTCGTATCTGCTTTGTAAAACACCATCTGAATGCAGTGTTGAATTACGTAAGGTAGAAATTGGGACCCGATTCTCTCCTTCACAGATCATTTCATACAAAATCAGCGATTATATATCACTAGAATTTCATCTGAATAAAATAACTGCTTTCGTATTGCCGTCCTAGAGGATTAAGTAAAAAATGTTGAATACATAGGTACCAAAGTATATCCAAGAAAATAATATGCACATGATTAGTAACAACAGCTACATTGTGTTTCACATTTTAATTCAGTAGAGATTGATCTAACAGCTTTTCGATCAAGCAACAGATTTACTGACTTAGTTATCAACTCAGATGATAATCAATCATTTTGGTAATAAAGTAATTGGTTATAATAAAAGTTTACATATAGAATGGATTCTATCTGATTCGACACCCTTTGTTTATGAATGCATATGGCAAAATGCAAGTAAATCGTTTTTCTTAACTAACTTTATGAATATTCCAGCGTTGAATAAAATGTCTTGCAACATCTCGAGCGGTTTGACCAAATACAACCAATGCTTCATCATGCCATGGCATACGTGGTACTAGTGTTCGTGCAACACTATCTACAGTACAGTTTACATTAGCAGATTTGACATAAATCGACAAAACAAACGAAAAAAAAAGCAATGACTAATTACCTGTCGTGTAGTCTTCAAGTTCTGTGAAATCTCTTTGATATGCATTTGAATAATCTTTTCCAATAAAATATTGATATTTTTTATCAACTTCAGATGTTAAAGTAGTATCTGATTGTTGTTCTTCAAGAATTTTTCCATCATCAGGGTCTTCGTCACTTTTTCTTGCTCTCTAAATAAATCAAATATTTAGATTTTGTTTTAAATTACTTTTTAAAAAGTCTTTCTATAACCTGTCAAGCTAACTTTCGACTAGTTGTCAAAAATCGCATAGAATTAAAAGTAAAAAAAAACTATTATTTACCTTAAGCAAAATACACTTTTTCTTCCGTTATTCATAACTTTTCTCGATGAGATATAATCCGACAATTTTGACTTTCTAGTGTTTCAAAGAACTTTCTTCACGCTAGATGATAAATTGTGCAATATGAAAAAGAAAGAGAAGCTAATCAGGTAGTTTTCATAAGAAGACACGCTCTATATCAATGAATACATAAGAAAACTAAACTAGACGTACATGAAAAATTTTTGTTATAGACATTGTTTTTTTGTCTTCATCAAAAGTTTGGTATCAATAAAGTAATTTTAGATGTCTGATTCCCTGCACAAAAAGTCAACTGTCACTATGGAACCTTTTTAGAGGTGTTTGGTTTTTAGCTTTTCCTTCTTCTCAAATTCAGTTTTGAAAAATACTTCTGCTACAAAATTGATAGTTCAGACTTGACTCCTTCTAACAAAAAACAATTTGATTGGTTTAAAAGTCGGCAAGGTAATCTCTAACAGGATTTGACATTTTTTTCCAAGACTTTTTACACACAAGTTATCGATTTAATTATTTACTTGTACTAATTGTTGTAATCCCGGAGTAATTTGTCGAATTTCTTTTTCATCATGTTCAAATACGCTTTCATCATTTTTTACTTGTGTATCTTCAATATTCAAATAACATTCAAAATTCAGATTGTTTTCTCCTATATTGATTAGAAACATGGCAAAAAAATAAAAGAAAAGCTTTGAAGTGAAAAACACCCGCGATCGTCCCACCATTTAATCATTCACTTCGATAAACATAAAAACAAAAAAAAATTCCTGTAAGATCTGTGAAATAATATGCATTAGAAGCATTGCAGTAGCAACATTTAGTACGAGAAGAAATAGCATGATTGTGGGCGGTAATCACACTAGCAGCAATACGATTATTTCAGTAAATATAGATTAAATGCTACGGATATTAACGCTACAATAATATCAATGCACTACCTTCTATGATTTTGTTTTTGTTTTTGATAAGTAGTGAATGTATTGAAAGTGTAGAACATTCATCATTACTGTTGTCTGATACAATATCACTTTTATTTTCATCAGCTTCTATCAAAAAAGATAAGAATTTTATAAAATAATAATCAATGCTTATTAAATTTAGATTACATAAAAAACGAAGTAGTTTGAAATATTATTTTACAATTCGAAATAGAGTTTTGTTAAATATCATAACAAACGAACGAAATCAATTGAAAGTAATATTATTGAAAATGAATTCATCATTCTTATGTATAATATCATATGCTCATTCCCATACATAGAAAACAGTAATTTAATTTAGAATGGTCTTTCCCTGATATGTAAATATTATGATCTTCTGATTTTTCTTTTAAGTAGATAAGAAATGACATTTATTTTTACCTGTCAACCTTGATTGCATCCCTTGATAACGAGATAAAAACAAGAATAGTCAACAATTTGAGAAAAAAAAAGCAGAATGAAATTATTTACAAGTTTCAGCTATTAATTTCATATAATATGCTGTACTATTTGCATCAGTTGAATCAGGAAGCTTAGTATCTGCATGTACCTCTAGTGGCGGCGCCAGGGGTGGGCCAGGGTGGGCTGAGCCCACCCTGATTTACATCGAGCCCACCCTGAAAGATTTTGAAAGCTATGTAAAAAGAACACTTTGTGTGGGTTAGGGTGGGCTCAACCCATGATGAGCCCACCCTGAACTGAAATCCTGGCGCCGCTACTATGTACCTCATTTAGAGGAGTGAATGCTGATCTCAGACAATTTAAACTCTAAAAAAGATTCATAAATATTATATATACAGTCAAACCAAAATATATTGAGACACCCTTGTATTTTTTCGTATTTATTGATTTGTCAAGTAGAAACAAGAGATAAAGTTTTTCGTTTTCATCAGCAGATAGTCTTTGCTTCATATTATTTTCTATATCAAAATCAGACACGTGAACTACCATCTTGAAGTATGGGACGTTGTTTTTTGTAAAACCAGCCGATTTTTCATATAAAAGTATTCACGTTTCAGATATCAGAATTATATCATCTGTTTATCACCGGAGTGTGTACAACGAGCTCCATGCATTCGCATGATTATCGATAGAGAAAAATAATATTCACAATGAAAACTTTCAAAGAAAAAGATATTTTAATATGATACTATAGATGAAAAATTATCTAGATTTTTTTTGTAAATTATTTTCTAAATATATTACTGGAGAGCCCATCAAATGGTACATGAAATTTGATGATTTGACAAAATTTGGCCTGCAAAAACTAAAGTTTGGAGAGAAGTATTGTACTTGAATATGTAGATGATGATTAATTGCTTTCCTTTCTTTTTTTTATGGGTTTTATTATCTTATTTCTCTTTTTAGTTTTCTTACCTTAATAGATATTTCCCCAGCTTGTTCAGCCATTTTCGTAGTAGTTATTTGTGCTGCTTCTACCGTTTCTCTACCACCCGACGCTGCGTTTTCTGCAACTATATCAGATGGTGATTTCAATGTTGTATCATTTTTATCGGCCAAATCGACAAGACTGGCAATAAAAAGAAATGAAAACTCGTAGTTCAACAAATTAGAGATTCATAATTTATGTTAATTCATCTCGGATTACATTATATGTAAATAATTTGCAAGGCAAAATTTCTGTCAGTTACTTTGCAAAATATTCGAGATCTTAATTATTACTACATAGTTTTACATAGTGTGTTAACCGTAAGCGATAGTTCATTTGAATCTATTCGTACTATAATGACTCATGAGAATATGTTTCAAGAAAAAGCATCGAGAGTGAAAAAAATATATTTAGATGGCTTTCAATGGTTTTTTTTCCTTAAAAACTAATTGTGTAAAGTTATGGTTGATGATTTGTACATAGAAGTTCGTAAGTATATTGTGTAATAATTATTCAATGATTACTTGTCTACTAATTAGACTAAACAGTACAATTTACATGTTAGATGAATTAAAATCGTATTATCGACAAAGTTTGTATAACATTTCTTAAAAAAAAATCATTCTCAATAGCATGTACAATATGTGTGCAATTGCAGTTTACTAACTATCAACATCAGTGACTTAATCTAGATCGTGCACACTAGTTCTAGTGTTAGAGAAGCATCGGAATAGAACGATACCGAAAGAGCATAGTTTTGATAAAGTTTGTGTTTGACTTTTGTAGAAAATGTTGATGTCAATTTAGTCAGTATATCAACTTTACACATATCTAGAGTCTATCCTAGACACATATAAAACTCTCATATGTATGCTTTTTTTTCTTGTTCGAAAATAGATTCATGATGTATGTGAAAACAACATGAAGTTTAATGTAAGACAATAACTCACCGCATATATTCATCATCCCAACGGCCATAACATAAATCAATTCCACCAACGAAGGCAATCTTTTGATCAATAACAACCATTTTTTCATGATGAGACCACAACAGTACTCCATTCGTAGTATTATGATTTGGATGTCGAATAACCTTAGAAATTAAAATAAATAAGCTATTTTTGTTATTTTGAATTAAAATATTAAACTGACTTTAATAAATCCTTTTGCATTTTTCGAAACTAATTTTTTTTCTGTATATAAACTATTTAAACCTAAAGCAAATGGCATTTCCTTATAAAGCATTACATAAACACGAACTCCTGCATCCTACAATTCACAGATAACATTTTAACAAACATAAATATTACAACAAATCAAACTCATACAGCTATTCTTCCTAATATATTATCAAGTCGAAATGTTTTATCATCTGCTGGTCTAATCAACATAAGTTCAGGTGAAAGCCACCAATCAGTAATAAAAACTTCTTCTTTAGCTGTTAAAAGTGCTTTAGCAACGGCTTCCATATATGATTTACCATTAATAAACCTATATTAAACATTCTATTTTAATACAAGTTTATTTTATTATGTTACCAATAAGCTAACTGATTTTCTCGAACAGGTACATATGAATCAAATCGACTTCGTGTTTCATTGACAAAATCTTTTGCTTGTTCAGTTAAATTTGATAAATTTTTTGTCCATTCATTACAATCACGTGCTGTTCGACAATTAATAACTAATGTACGCTGTGAATTGCTTATTTTAATACTATCATTACTAGCAATATTTTGAAGACCAGTGGAAACTTGAAAATCACGATCAACTAACATAGGAAAACATATTTCATGTGTATCTGGTCGTATATCAACTATATAACTATCTTTAATAACAAACCATCTATATTTTACAAAATAAAAATCTTTTTATTGAAAACATTGTTCATAGGAAAAAAGATACATACTTCGGACTATCATGACATTTACATATATCACAAAAATATGATGCACGCGATAAAGCATGGTAATCAAAATAATAATTAATAGATTCTTCTTGTAGATAACCTTCTTTTCGGCTAGTCGATACACCATGAACAAATGATAAATAACGTACATGGAAAAATTCACACTAAAACGATTGAAATAGTACAATATAATATTATAAGAAAAGTAACAGTCAGTCATATCCGTTGAATTCTTAATCATCAACTCTAGTTTGGTTGAAAGAATTTTTTGCCAATGGCGATATCGTAGAATAAGTTCATAACTCAAAACTACAGAATCAAATCTAATTCATTTTCTAGCATCCGATTTAGAGCTGTTGTGAAAGTTTTGATTTAAATGGATTTGCTACCTAATACTTGGTCTGCTAGAATAATAGTCAGAACACTGTAGAACTTATGAAGACTAAAACAAGATGACTATATATTTATATAAAAATATAGCCGCTTTCAAACATTACGATTTCAACAAACGATAAGTCTTTTATCAGGGATCAACAAATTGAAGAAAATACCGTTTATGTATTTCAGTAGGAAAAAACAAAGTTTTATGATAATTTCGAAGTTATATTGAATCTGCAGCGTTAGACGAGATATCAGCTACAATTTATTAACTATTCTATTGGTTATGTTGTATTTCATTCATATTTTGTTGTTAATTTTAAATATTCATGTCGTTGAACAGCCTTTTACCTTCATATGCGTCACCAATATAAATAGTGTACCATGAAGTACACGTGACTATTAAAAGTACTATCTAAATTATTAACCATCAATAATTAGTAATAAGATGAGACAGTTATCAACAAACGACACGGGTATAGATGTTCTGTCCATTTGTACCCACTCCAACTCAGATCTAGATCCATACCTTACTCCCTGCCTAATGTTATATGTTCTCGACTAAGGAATAGATTTCACTGTCTTGGTTATCTTCTCATATGGTAATCAATCATGTTTTTTAGTCAACTAATCAATTATATAATAAAAGTTTATATACATATAACAGATTGTATTTGATTCGGTAATTTTCAGTTATGAATTCATTCAGGGATATTAGAAACAGAAAAGATTGATGTTGGTAATAGTGAATTTCTCCAAAAATGAACTCAACAATCAGAAAGAAGTTTCTCATCAATGCTAAATATTCGATTAATGTATACGTTAAAATTAGTAACAATGTCAATTATGAATTCATACCGTTGCTGGATGTGCGCGAAATTTAGGATGTCTAAGAATTTTATTGAGATAATCGACAAGAATAGGCTATACGAAAAAAAAAATTAATAAGGAAAAAAAGCAAAGTTCATTGTTTAACTTACACAAAGTTCTTCAACTATAGAATCATTAGTAAATGCTGTTAGATCATTTCTTGTTGGAATACATGGATATTCATTGTTTTCGTCTTGATTACTAAAAAAATGAAATCATAACAAAAAAAAATATCTATTACACACTACTT